ACATGTTTACGGATTCTTGGAGATTGTGAGTAAGGAGCGAGCCTGTATCGGTCTGTCCTTCATTAAGGGCCAGTCGGAGGAGAGAGGCATTTATCACGACAGACTGAGCTTTCAGAACCCGGTGTTCCCGCACACACACATACACATATACACAGTTCATTATCTCTCTCCCTCTGAGCTACTGTAACGCCAAATCCTCCTCATTCAGCTCTCTATAACCTATAGAAAAGAGAAAATTGCTCTTATCAAACTGCTATAAATTAAAAGCGTAAGAAAGCACATGGGTCATTTAGCTATGACAGCCCCAGTAATGTAGCCTAGGTAGGCCTATATCATTTCTTTGATTTCTGTATTTATAAAAAAGGTTTCACAGGTCTTTCGTGATATGCTGAACACATTATGTAAATTATAAAAACCATTCGAGTGAACTGAATAAAAAAATGTCATATGAGCAACAGTTATCGTTTGTGGGTCAATTGCACCCAATTGCTAAAACTACAGTAAGAAAGCAATAAGTGTTGCAGCAGAACATTTTCATGATAGGCCTATATCTACCCCAGGAAAGCTACATCACAATTTAATTTGGCAAGTAGGCCTTCAGGACTTGTCATTGTAAGTGATAGGCCTACAACTTTAAACATCAGGTTTCCTTAGTTTGAAGATCACACATGAGCAGCTATTTGTCTTTCAACCAGGAAATTAATTGAAAACTTCTCATTTTTAAGGCTTCTTGCAAATATATATATTTTTTTAGGCCACTTAAACTCAAGGCAAAAAAAATACCATCTAGCATCTGTTCTGAGAAACAGGTTGTTTTGTTCCTCACAGATACGTGCCCAGCTAATCTCTTGTGTTGTGGCTGCGGACTCTGACTTGCTGCTAACCCTTGCTGGGCTCCAGTGTGCTCCATGACGCCTCGTACGAGGTCAGACAGAGGACAGCGACTCCACTTCCCGTTTCCCTTCAAAAACTCAACCCCCATATGCTTACAGCAGAGCTTCAGCTTCCCAGAATGCACCTCTCTAGCCAGCTGACCCCGAGGTCGGCAGCTGTCAATCACATCCTCAGCTGGCTCTGCAGCTTCTGGACATAGACTGGAGGATGTGAGGGAGGCCTCTGAGAACAGCCCTGGCTCTGCATATGGGATCATCTCTGTGCATTCATGGCGGGTAATTAAATTAGCTATCCTTCTCCTATTCTAATGCAAACCTCAGGTTGAAGCGCCACCCTGTACGTGAGAGGAAAGGCCTCAGGCAGTGACAGCGAGACAAAGACAGCCAGCTTTTATGAAATACAGAGTTGCACTTCATTCTAGCTGGCAGTGCGTTGGTGTTCATTTGGCTGATCAAAATAACTTCTCTATCGCTGTGCTGTTGGACAATCATTCAAATTGTCACAGAAAAGGTTAGTTCTTTGTTTACTCTCTTGACACGAAATCTATTGTTGTTTTATTTCTCACTTAAAAACATAACAATAGTTGATGAAAAAATATTGATGAAAATCTGATTGTCACTGAAAAATATTTTTGGCAGATCACGATAAAGCTGTGTATATGTACACATGCAAGCCAGTGCCAACTGTGTGTGTGGAGCAGAGAGGATGTAAGGTGTAACAGGGTGTGACAGGCCTGCAGACTGACAGCCCTGCAGAGAGGATGTAGTGGAGGGAGGGGTGAAAGTGGGTCCTATAGCCTGAGGGCCGCAGGGTGCACCAAGAGAGTGCAGGGTCACCTTTATCCATGCTGTCTGTGCCCAGAGCTGGAAGTGCGGGGGCTGAGGTGGGGGGAGACCTGGGACTCCTGACAGGCTGAACTGATTTCCTGTGCAGGGTCATGCCCAGGACAGACTCAAGAGGACAAGAGTTTAGGACCACGGGGAGCATGCTCATGGTATGGACTATGAGTTTTGCTTTTTTATCCCCCCCCCCCCCCATCCCCCCGCTTTTCACAAAGGCTTATATTCTAAAATGTGCACATCTCCATCTGTGGTTATTCATAAATTCAAATTAAGGACAATGCTCTGTATTTTTTATTTGGATGAGATTTTACGTCTCCTTCATTCTGAAAGTCTAACTTTTCAGTTAATGAATCAATGACTGGACCCCCCTCAGGTATAATCAAGCAAGCCACAACTCAGAGAAGTCCACATAGGAGATCGGTTCTTCAGTGAATAACATACCCATAATCCCCTACATCTTAATGCAGTATTCATATAAACAGTGTTACCTGCGGCAGCTCTGAGATCACAGCGCAGACGTTCTTCCACTTGCCCACATTTCTGGAATGCATTTACTCAGCTGGGTCCGCGAATCGAAGAGTGCTCTGCTGCCTTGGGCTACAGAGGACATGCTTGTCACGAGATTTGGGAAACATATCCCCCCTGTGTGTACATCTTAAAACTCCCCTCTAACAGAATTATGAGCTTTTTTTTTAATGGGGGGTCAGTCAGACGGTTTGACAAAAGCTAGCAGCTACACCTAGGCTGAAGTTTATGAGATGAATGTACTGCATAGTGTGAGAGGGTAAAAGGCGACACTGGTTGTGATTTACATGACACCGTCCTCTTTTCTAGCCTCTGTGCTCTACTGACCCAAACATGTTAATCCAAGTCATGTTACACATAAATGTCATTAGGCCTTACATCTGAGGTCACTAATCATGTCAAATTTAAAGGAGGTTTTCCTCACCTTGCAGACAGAAATGTCTTTGCAATTTGTGTCCACATGGAGGCTTGAATTTTCATTTTGCTCATTTCATTTAATTGTAGGAGTCTTGCAGTAAAGAGAGGCATGTAAAGAGTATTTTCTGCACATTGGAGCAGGATTAAGATTGTCAGCAGAAGTATTAGCATGTCCTGTTGGTCTAATTCTTGAACAGAACAGTGTCAACGTTCTTCAGCTTTCCTCTTCTTAAAAATTCAAGCCATAATGTAGCAAACGTGAAGCCATCATTCACATGCCATCTTAGCTCCACATTTCTTCCTTCTAACACTTGGATGTTTAACGTGTTCTGTGGACACTTTGATATTCCAGAAACCAGAAATGGAATCAAATGGAGCTTGTGAAGCGTTTCAGCCCAAATGGATTTCATGTTTACACACTTGTCCATCAGCTGAGCAGCCTCAGGTATCCGGGGAGATGTTGAGATGTCCTCAAAGCAAGCAGTGCCGAGTCTGAACCTGGTAAGTGCACTGTGTTTAGACGGGGTTTGTCCAGATCGAAGATAACATACATGTATCAAATGAGTCCAACTCTTTCTGAAGACGTTCAATCAGTGTTGAGCAGCATGGTGAAGAAAACAATACAACTTGTGTCTTTGATATGAAGCATGCATATTTCCTACTTTCACTTTATTATTTTTTTTTATATAGACTCGACCAAAACGTGTTCAGTCAAATATATATAGAACAAATAGCAACAGTGCATTCATTAAAACTTGATTTAAAATAAATATAAATGATGTTTAAAAAGGTTATTGTTTTGACATTAGAAGGCTTTATGTTACCTGTTCCATAATGTCTTATAAAGTATTCAGTACAGACACACAAATGAGGACTATAGTTAAGAGCTGAATGACATGCAAACAGTAACGACCAATATTTACTGTTCGGGCCTAAAGACTCATCGGTAATGTACATTGACTTTACAGTATTTTTGTTTTGTTTTTGCTTTTCTATTATTAATTTTTATTGGTATTTTGATAACATAACAAACGACGTTCGCATAATCAAATCCGGCAAACTATTGGCTTACTTATTGTTAACTTTTTTTAAATGCCGATCGAATAATCGCTTCGTTACTTGAAATAAATTGCCTTCTTCTGAAATAAAAACAGTTCCAATTAAATTTCTTTGTAGCCTACTTTTAAATAGCCTAAATGTCATAAAGGAAGCCGGCTCGTTTCTAAGGAAAAAGTAACCTATTATTATATTAAAGGCTGAATCTGTCATACTTTAAAGCAGCAAAAACGTAACATTTCTTCAATAAAATGAAGACCTCGGATGTCATGATTACCCTCTATATTAAATATGGTATGGATTTTGAGTTTGATTTAATATTCAAATTTATCGACTTCGATAGTTTTGTAACTCCCGTTTGCTTTACTGCTGGATAAGTAGATTATTATTATTATTATTATTATTATTATTCCTATTAATAATAATAACAATAATAATATTTACATTTACGTATTTAAAAGCCAAAATTAGCGTCACACACAAGTGTTGCTTTTATAGGCTATATATCAAGTTCATGGTTAAGCGGCTTACGCCCTTTAAGAATTGATCTCTGCATTAACATGAAACGGAGAAAGAAGAAAATGTAGGCCTATATGAGATATTAAATAGAGCACTGCTCTGCAGTAATGCTCAGATGCCTAAAGTTAAAGAAGCTGTCGGGCTGACTTATCGGAAAAGAAAAAAACGATCTGTAGAATAATGTAGAAACGGAATACGGAAAAGTCAAATGAAATAGCTGCATGAAAAAAGTAAAAAATACAATAAAATAAAAAATACTGAGAGTTTCATAATGTCTTTTTGTTTTAAAATGTGTTTGAATAAGTTTAGATTCCGTGCGTAAACGGTTGTGTGTCCCCTCTGCCTGCGTCTCCTGTCCTGCATGATTTGCAGATAAGACCCCTAACAACATATGAAATAGGAATTAAATGGTTAATTGGAGGGACAAAAACCACACGTGATTGAATTTTTGGCGGATTATATCAGACTTCTGGATGCTCTCTCTCTCTCTCTCTCTCTCTCTCTCTCTCTCTCTATCTCTCTCTCTCTCTCTCTCTCTCACACACTCACACACACACACACACACACACACACACGCACACGCACTCGAACACAGTCCTTTCCCGGTTTCACGGGTCTTTGTTTCTGATCTGTTAAATCCCACCCACTTGACATGAACACAGAAGAGAAAAAAAGTCTCTCACTCAAGCGCCCACTCTGTCAACGCGCAGTCGCTGTTGTCTAAACTGCTGCTGGATCCGTAAAAGATGGACACGGACAGTTGTTTGCCTTTCTCTTCGCAGAGCAGCAGGAGGACGCCAGAGACCTCTCCGGGTTTGGAGCACCGAGGCTCCGGCTCCTTCCTCTCCTGCGATGAGCTGCAGAAACCCTCACACCTTCCTCCTCCTCCTCCTCTCCCAAACCGCCTCGGTCTGCGCGGGGATCTGTACGCAGCCGCCATGGGGAGGTTTGGTGATGCTGCGGCGGGCTTTACGCACGGCGCTGTTCCGGCCAACGCGCCCGGCTCCCCGTCCAAACACAACAAATTCATGGAGAGTATAGACCAGGATCAGAAGGGGTCAGCGATCAGCGGCAAGCCGGCATTTTATGAGCACAACTCCGAAGGTGAATGCAATTAGTATACTTTGCACGAAATATTACTGATTTAAGAGACACATAGCTTAAACTGTTCACGCTAGCACCTTCTGAACCCCGCAAGTTCATGTTGTTCAAATGTCATTAAAACAAATAGCTTCACTTGGTCCTTTAAAAGAGGGGGTTTCTTTAACAAAGAATAAGAACACAAAGACTAACAGGTAATAGTAAAAACAGGGTTACGCAGTCTAACTAATTTCAACGAAGACTTATAAACTTGAGATTTGACTGATCCGTCTTTGTATGATAAATATAATACTATTAGGTATATATACGCTAATATAGTACAGGCCTGAAGGTCAAATTAGCCTGTTTTATTTGTTAGTTACTTAAGTTATGACAATCCTAGCTTTAGCATAATTATTTTAATTTTGACCTTGAAAAAAGTTATGGCTATGCTGCACACAACTAGCAGTTAAAATGATTAGAGGTATAAACTAAATAAACTAAATAAAAAAATAACAAATCTTTTTAATTTAGATTTAAATTTTTGCAGTTTCTAGGTTTGGTGATATTGTACTTTTCAGCTGATAATTACGTTGAAGTATTCCTTGATTTTTACTGGCTATGCACATGGAAGCACGATAACAATATCAACATGGTTTCAGCGATGTAAAGTGAGAGAGGTTAAAGGTCAGACTGGCAGAAAGTTGGGTGTGTCATAAGGTGATCCATTTATCTTTACCCTTCTGTATGTTTGCATAAAGATGCATTTTTTCATTCTGGATGCACGTTACTATAATGTCAAATGCGTCAGACTGACTTTTGGAAGGCATGTGCTGAAATGCTGTCAGACTTTTAGGCCTATAGAAGTTCATCCTGTGAAGAAATGTATCAACTGTGTTGAATTGAAGCCTGAAGAAATGGTGTGCTGTTTCACTTTATTTATTGGTGTTGATGATTGTGCAAAGCAGCAGAGGATATGAGCACTGATAAGGTCTTTGTGATATCTGTGTCCAGAATAATATACAACAGCCTGATTCAAGTGACTGCCAAAGAAAGCCAATACACTTTTTTCACAATTAGTTTGGATAATGAAATCAGCTGTGTGGACTGAGAGTGGACGTTTAGGACTTTTCATATCAATTCTGCGAAGGAAAGCAAGTATAGTTTTCTCTTCCGTCTCTGTACCTCTCTCTCTCTCTCTCTCTCTCTCTCTCGCTCTCTCTCTCACACACACACACACAAGCAGATACACACATATATATATATGCTCACACACATAAATTGATTCCCTAATAATTTTTCTTTTGTAAATTAGGAAATTAGCTAAATGACTCTAATGGCATTTAGATCAGAATGTTTGTATGTGCGGAAAAGACATGAGTTTGCCTGTATGTGTGTGTGTGTGTGTGTGTGTGTGTGTGTGTGTGTGTGTGTGTGTGTGTGTGTGTGTGTGTGTGTGTGCGCGCATGCCTACTTTTTGTTTGCTTTTTTTGAGTTGAGTTCGTACACCTTCAAAGGGAGACATGGCTTCCTGTTTTGTCTACAGTGGACGAAAGGTTCTGGGATTGTGGGACAGGCCAACGCATTCAAACCAACTTTGATCATCTTCACACTAAAGATTTCCTTTTTTTTTTCACTTCATTGTTCCGTGCTTTTACTTTTTGAAATTTCAATGGATGAGTGAGTTTAAATTTGTACAATTGTTTATAATCCAGTTAAATTATTACAATGCATATTTCTATTGACTGGGGAAATGTGACAAACTATTTCTCGGGGAATATAACATTATTTTTTATTATATTGTTAAATATCCAACATCAATTTAAATATCCTTGACAAATGTATCCAAACACATTTTAGAATCATTTGTATTTTTAGAGGTAAAAATATCCTTATCACAAACACACGTTACTGTGCTACACAAATAAAAAGACAATTCTCCCTTATTATAATAAAGCTTATAGTGAACTCAGCAGCATAAACCTAACGTCAAACTTTGCCAATTTTTTTAGGCTAATACTTATTTTTCTTTTTTTTAATTTTGATATTGTAACTATAGCAGATTCATTTCAGACCCGTAAATATTCTATATGCTTTAAGAAACTGCAAAAAAATGTATGTTTTTAAATACTGATGGTAGATTTCACTTAGATTGAAAACCTGAACTTACAGAACATGAAGCCTGGAATTAAGGTAATTAAATTTCAACCACATGTATTTCAGTGTAACACAATTGATCCCAAGGCTCGCAGCATGATGCTTAACCTACACGCTTTAAATTCATCCTCTATTTGCCTTTTCCTGGATTTCAGATAGATCTCCAGTTACACTGAAATGGAGGCAGAGCGGATGTGGGTGCTTGACAAGGGTAAAAGCTACACAATGTCCCGCGGCCCCAGTTTGTAATCTTAACCGAGAATATTTTCAGCATGAACTGCAGTGTGCGTTGGGATCTAATGGACACAAGGAAATTAATGTTGCAATGAGAAGTGCTCTCTGTTGGGCCCCATATTGAATTAAGGGAATAGCAAAGTAATGTCTCGGCTGCCCCCAGTGAGTGAGCGCCTGCAGAAAGACAGAGAGTGATTTTGTTTTGGAGCTCAGGGTTCAACTTAATGAAAATGGACAACAACATCCAAACACTGCAGGAGGAAAAAGCCTTTTCCACGCTCTGTTAACTGGAAGGCAAATGCTTTCACATCTCTCCTCACTGCTGAACGTAAAGGGCAGACTATGTTTTCATAATTTAAACTATTGTGTGCTTTGCTAAATATACATTTGTCATATGATTCAGTACTACAAAAATTAATCCGTCTACTTTTATTTGCATTACACAAAATCACAACAAAAGTTATGACATCCTCTTGACATATAGAGCAGGTTTAAACTGTAGTCTTTGCAGAAGTTCAACTAAATCCTAATTATCTTACTGTTCGTATTTTTTCAAAGACATTGCAATGACCAACCATTGCAAAAAATGCCTTGTTTGTTTGTTTTGAAAGCCCTCCCTAAACATTAAAAAATAAAACTAATCAGACATAGTTTTGTCTTTTTTGCCGTCTTGTTCAAGCTGAACCTAACTTTGAGAGGTACTGGCCTTATTAAGGGTTGTCTGAGCAAATTCAATTAAAACACTGTTTGCTTTAATAACCGTTGTTTGTTGATTTTCTCAGGCATCTCAGTTGAGCCTTTTACGGCAGATCAAGTTTGGGAATCAAATTAAGAAGCATAAAAAACAAGCACAATATTAATTGCATGCAGTGATACCTCACAAACAAAATGTTTGATGTGATAGAGCTGCATTACATTTTAGAACAGTGTGTAAAAGTATAATGCACTGGTTTTTAAAATCTGATCATGGTGAAATTGATGTTTGTACTGGCAGCTCATGTGCAAAGATATTTGATTCAGGGATTACTTTCTGTACAAAAATTGTGCGTTTTAATCCTCATGTTGGAAGGGCGTCTTCAGTATGCTGCTATATTAATCACATTTCAAAAGTTGCATAGGTTTGCGTATTTGTGTTACTCTTAAAAGAATGCTGACAGGTTCACAGTATTTGTCGGGGTCCTGCTCAAACTTTTAACTTTCTGCAACTTCACAAAAGAAATAAACAAGTTGCACAAAGAATTAAAGATTCAATATTTTATATCTAAAGAAGCATCATTGACATTACAAAATTTCAGTCTTCCCCAAAATAAATCAGACTGTTAAAGTCGGACAGCATCAGTGTGGAGCCTGGGACAAATCAAATAAAACACATAACACAATATATTTACTGATCACAACTACAGTATTAGTTATTAAGAGTTGAATATGAATAAATGACCCTTAAAAGTAACATCATAAGATAAATTTAAAAACAATGGGACATTTTTTTTTTAATTTGTTGTAACTTAAAGGAAATGAAAGCAGCCTGAAACCATATAACAATAAATATCATATGAAGCATTGATAGTAAAAACATATAGACTTTGTATGGTAGAGATGCATTTATTTTAAAATGGTGTCTTTTTTCTCTCTTCACTCTGGGCCTCAGTCAGAGACAAAGGAGCTCCAAAGACTATGGGCTATCCTGGTATTGGCACAGACTGCTGTGGAAAGCTGAAAGAGTCCGGAGGTTTACACGGGGACTCTATCGCCGACTCCATCGACTTATCGGGCAAAAACAAGAAGCGGCGCAATCGCACTACGTTCAGCACCTTTCAGCTGGAAGAGCTGGAGAAAGTGTTTCAGAAGACGCACTACCCTGACGTGTACGCCCGGGAGCAGCTCGCCCTCAGGACGGAGCTCACAGAGGCTCGGGTTCAGGTGTGTTAGGGAAACTACATCGTATTTTACTACCTCAATAAATGACTTGAAGAAATTGTGACACTTTACTGCGGCACTTTATCTTTGTGATTGGAAGGTCTGGTTCCAGAATCGTAGAGCCAAGTGGAGGAAACGAGAACGCTACGGGAAGATCCAGGAGGTCCGCAACCACTTTGCTGCTACCTATGATATCTCTCTTCTCCCTCGCCATGACACATACCAGGTAGGCCACTGGAGATATATCATATATAATGACAAAGGTTAAATATTTAGAGCTTTCTTTTACAAGCTTCCTCCAACCTCTTGAAATTAAATCAAAGCACTCCATTAAATTCCTAATATTTCCCATCCTGTCCCTCCCTCTGTCCAGATGCAGGGCAATCTATGGCCCGGAACAGCTTCAGGAGGCGGCGGTGCTTCGGGTGCTGGCTGTGTCCTGGGTGCTGACTCCATCCCCTCCTCCTGCATGAGCCCGTACCCTCACCCCCACGGCAACCTACAGGGCTTCATGGGCATGCCCACATCCCCCGGCCATCCCCACCACCACCATCACCACCCGCCCCACCATCCCGGCATCAACGGCCTCTACTCGCTCCACAGCTTCCCAGGAGGCCTCGGGCCCCCTTCAATCGAGGGACCAGAGGCCGAATACAAGCCGACCGGCCTGGTGGCGCTACGCATGAAAGCCAAAGAGCCTGGCAGCCTTCTCTCCTGGCCCACATGACCACAATAATGCCAGCTCCCCACTATGCACTGACTGAGCCAAAGCATAATACATTCCCGACCCATACGCAGTCCCTGAAGTACACACCCAGCTCAGCATTGACTCAGATATTCCTCTTAACAAGTATGTAAGCCATCACGGAGACTTTTCACTATTCAGAAGAGAATGGGATAAGAATTTGATTCTTTTTATAAGATTTTCTATTTCTATTAATAGGAACTTTATGTTTCCGTTTTAAGTCGGATATCACAATGCTGAGACCAGGAAAACTTATTTAAGCATGTAAAGATTGTAATTATCATATTAATCATTGTTTTTTTTTTAAATGTCTGTTGTGCTTTATAGCGTGAGCAGTAATAAAGGCCTCCATCTTAATCATGTTTCTCATTCAGTAGGAAGCTATTTTCAGAAACGGGGACAAAAATATTTAACAATGGTAACATCTGCTGGAATAATTTCACCCATTACAAGACGTAAAAAACGATAACCCAGCTAAGCAAAGTGTGTGTCAAAAACACAACTGTGATGTGGCTGTGTGACATACAGTAAAATGCTTCAGTGTGGTTGCCAAAAGCCAAAGATGTCTGCTGTGCAGGAAGTGAGTTTCTTTGTATTCTGGAAGGCTACACAGAGACGGTACATGTGCAGCCTACTTTGCCTCTCCTCAAGAGGCCTTAAGGTTGGCAGCTCATGTATCAGGGGAAAGTGGCTGATTCATTAATGGAAAAATAACTGTGTGACCACACCTCACTGTTGATGATGATCAAGGAGTGAGCCAAAGATGAATCACAAATAACTCCACATTTGATCAACTGGGTCATGAAGTACAGTGAAACCTGAGAAATCAGGGACTCCAAGAGCCAAGAGCATTTTTTACTGGGTGATATTTATTGAGGTCAGTTCAGTTGCCTTTTGCTTTTCTTCATAACTACTTTACTTTATTCATTTGTTGGCTTTTTAAAGAAGACAATTACATAAATGCGTTGCTGTTACATGTACTCTAAATGCACTCCTAATAATTGTTTTCAGAAAATCTTCTTGTGCTCACCCCAAACAATTTACTTTATTGTCAGGGAAACACTGAACTGCATGGTACCATCCCATCTGGTGTAAATTACTAAATACCAACATATTCATGTCAGATGTGCAAACATTTCAATCTGTATGCGAGTGAAAATGCAACTTGAATTGAGGAGTGGGGTGGGGGGAGTTCCAGTGGTGGACAAAGCCCTCTGAAGCTGCACTTATACTCCCCAGGAGTGTACATGGCTTAAGGGTGAATGTATTGGCTCTTCTTTGCTCGCTTCACCGTGACAGCCGTGCTGGAGCACATTAGCTGCCATTCCCTTTTAGTCTGTCCCGGGGTTTTGTGAGAGCAGCTAACATGTGTTTCCAATAGAGGAATGCACAAACCCATCAGAAACACTTTCCACACCCACAGCTTCAAATTCCACCCAGGCCCTGGGAGACAGCAACTCTTACTGGAGTAACATAGATGCCCCACTCCCCGTGATTAAATCTCAGATTAAGAAAAGGAGATAAGAAGAGCAGTCAGTGGGGATAAGGGATTGGGTGATGGCCATCTTTAGGAAAGCTGAAGAAATAGCGCTCAGCTTAGAAGGGAGCAGGTAAATCATATGTTTGTTGAATAGAAATAAAAAAAAGGAAATTTATATTTGAACTTTTTAACACTTTTAGGATATTTGCAAATTAATATCTCAATACTTGATATTGTGGTCATATTATTCTTAAACCTCTTCCTACTATAGGTATACATTTGTTTTGATTAAGTGTCCTTTAAGTGACAGTGGTAAAGCTTTGATCTGTATTGACTCAGTAAATCAGGCTACAAAGTTCTGATCTGATTTGTCTGGAAATAAATGAAAAGGTAAAGTTTAGACTGTACAGTGCTGCGAGCACTTATTAACTAACATTCACTCTTGTGTGGCAGGGTCATTGGGTGAAGACTGTCACACGAGTCAGGAAATTACTTTGCCCTGCAGTCTCATTAATGGACACAAAAATATGATTGAATGCTCAGTAAAATCGGTAAAGCTGCCCGCTGGTCCACCGTTCTATAAGCTTTGATGTTAACAAGATTGATCTTGGCCTTGAAGTGCAACTATTGTGACACACAAAGATCCTTGTATTTGAAGTAGTAGAACAGCATTAACATGTCCCACTAAACTAAACAATGTGGTTAAGCACACAACAGTGAAGTAAGGAAAGTGAAACAGTCATGAAATAGAGCAGCTTCCAAATGTTTGACTGTAACATTTCTGTTAGTATTTAATCATCAGCAGGAAAAAAATAATAATTCAGGTTAAAAAAATCCCGACATTGAGTTGACCAATTAATGCAGAATTGTTTATTACAAAAGTAGTGTAAAACTGGTTGATAGAAACAGTGAACTCAGTTAAGTGTGTGGAAAATAATGTTAGGACTCTGAGCAGTCAAATATGAGTTGTGTTGTCTTTACAGTTAAAAAGGAAACTCTTAAAGTAACCAAAATGTTGAGAAATAATCTATAACATGTTGTCATCTTTACACTTAATTTATTTACAATCATCTTGATTTGTCTATAGAGCAAATAAGTGCTCATACAGGGACTTTATCAGGGCTACTTTAGGCATTACTGGCTATAGTACACTTTTGAACCATCCATTATCTATATTGCTTTTCCCCTTCAGGGTTGCGAGGGGCTGGAGCCGATCCCAGCTACTATTGAGCAATAGGTGGAGTACACCTAGAGGCAATTTAGAGCACCCGAAGATAACCCATGCATGCACAGGGGAAACATGCGAACTCCACACAGAGAGGCCTGTCCGATAGGGATTTGAACCAGGAACCTCCTTGCTGTGGGGGAACAGCGCCGAACCACTGCACCACTCTGCAGCCTAACTTTTGAACCAATTCTCTCTGTTCAAATACTGCCACCCTCTGGTTGTAGGTTTACTTGTTGAAAAATGTCTCTATCCCTCCCTACATCAAACTATCATTTTAATTTAAAAAAAAAAGAGTAATATCACTGATTAAAGTCATGTTATAAAAACAAAATAATTTGACTGATGTTAGACAGAAAAACCCTACCACCATACTGAAAAAATGGGTGGTAGGTCTTTACATTAATACAACTTTTAATGTCAGTAGTGACCTGAAGGGGGTGCAGATTAACAAATAGCTGTATTTACACTCTATGTGTATGACGTGTGAAAAAATAAATATCTGGTGACATGTAGCCTATAGGCTATATTTAATGTATTAGGGTAAGCTACCGCCACAAATAAATACATTTATATGTATATACAGTAGGCATATATATTTTTTTCTTTCAATTAAAAATAATTGTGAGTCACAGACAAGAATAGCCTACAAGAACAAGTATGTGATAAGTGAATGATAAATATTTAATAGTGATTGATTTGCTCAAAATATTAGTCTGTTGAAATAAATACCAGTTAATGACCCATCGCTTTTTCTTCGTAGACAATGTTAAAAATAAATAAGTTTAAATTTAAATTTGCAAGTGTATGATTGACATGTGGTTTAAAGTTTTCCACCCACTTTTTCAACCAATCGAGTACAAGGGGCGGGCTTTCACGCTAATCTCTACAAAATGGCGACTGTTGTTGTTTTGCCGCAGCGTCAATGAAAAGTCAGTTTCTTATTTTAACATTTATCTGCAACACTGTGCAGAAATAGCTTTTAAAATACAATAGGCGTCCGGCAGGGTCGGCTTCGTGCGGATTGAAATGAAAGGCAAAGAGCGGTCGCCGATTAAAAAACGCTCCCGGGCCCTGGACGATATCCGAGACAGGGGAGGATGCCACCCGACCAGCAAGAAAATGGGGGCTCTCTCCGTCTCCAGTGGGAGTAATAATGGAAATAGCTCAACCAAAGGCGACGGTGGCTCGACGAGGAGAAGCCTGCTCGGCGAAAAAAGAGACAGGGATTTCGAGGGACACGGTCGGACTGGAAATAATCACAGTTGTCAGCCTGCTGCCGCTAGCTCCGTCGGTAAAAACCACAGCCTGAGCCTGCCGCTCGACTTAGCCTCACCGAGGACCACTTCACGCGGGGAGCAGAGGGTCCAGCCGCCCGGCGCCGAGAGTGAGTACAAAACGCTGAAAATAAGCGACCTCGGCACCCAGCTGAGCGACGAAGACATAGAGGACGGACTCTTTCACGAGTTTAAAAAATTCGGAGACGTGAGCGTCAAGATAAGCCGCAGCAACGACGAGCGGATAGCTTTCGTTAATTTCAGGAAGCCGGAGGACGCGAGAGCGGCGAAGCACGCGAGGGGGAGATTGGTACTCTACGACCGTCCGCTGAAAATTGAAGCAGTGTACATTAACAGGAGGAGAAGCCGCTCTCCTGTGGAGAGAGACTTGTATAGTGCTGCACAAAGCCATAGACATTTGCAGAGACCTCTCTCGCCCACCGGGCTTGGATACAGAGACTACCGCCTGCAGCAGCTCGCCCTGGGTCGGCTCCCCCCTCCCCCGCCGCCCCCTCTGCCCAGAGAACTGGAGCGGGACAGGGAGTTTGCTCTGTTTGAAGCCAGGGCACGTCCGTCTTTTATTGCAGAGCGAGCTGCTTTTCGTGAGGAGGATTTTATATCTCCAGAAGATGACCAAAGAGCCAATAGGACGTTGTTTTTAGGCAATCTGGACATAACTGTTACAGAAGCAGACCTGAGGAGAGCTTTTGACAGGTTTGGGGTCATAACGGAAGTGGACATTAAAAGACCCACACGAGGACAAACCAGCACATATGGATTCTTAAAATTTGAGAACCTAGACATGGCTCACCGTGCTAAGCTGAGCATGTCTGGCAAAGTAGTGGGCCTCAACCCGATAAAGATAGGCTATGGAAAAGCGACTCCCACCACGCGCCTGTGGGTGGGTGGTCTTGGACCCTGGGTTCCTGTTGCTGCCTTGGCAAGAGAGTTTGATCGCTTTGGCACTATAAGGACCATTGACTATAGAAAAGGGGATACTTGGGCTTACATTCAGTATGAAAGTTTGGATGCTGCACAAGCAGCGTGCACACACATGAGGGGCTTCCCTCTTGGGGGTCCAGAGAGAAGACTCAGAGTGGACTTTGCAGACACTGAGCATCGCTACCAGCAACAGTTCCTTCAGCCTCTCCCAATACCACCGTTTGACATAGTGGCTGAATCTTTTGTGCACCGTGCCACTCCTGAACCTCTGAGGGTCAGAGAACGGACTCCACCGCCACTTCACTTCAGGGAGAGAGAGCTCTTTCCTGGTACTGAATGGCCAAACCCAGCTATTCGGGATCGGGTACGATCCTCACCCTTTGAGCCCCTGGAGCACTTGGAACGTGAGCGACGGGCACGGGAGCCCTGGTCTCTTGAAAGAGAGCTCCAGGGACGAGAACCTGCACGCAAGCGGAGAATAATGGAGGATGGACGCCATATAGACCACTCCCCTGACAGCACTGACAGGACAGTAAGACGTAGGCGTCCCTCTCCAGATGGTAGTCCTGGAGGTAGCAGCAGAGATGGAGGGCGCTTCAGTGACTCAGAGCGACCTCTGCGAGGAGAGAGACCCTCCCCAACAAGAGAACATCACAGCAGCCTTGAAAGGGGCGGGGCTGAGCGAAGACTCAAAAGCCAAAGTCTGTCTGACAAGGGACTTTCGGGCAGCAGTATTTCAGTGGTTGGAGAGCGTAAGCGGAAAGCAGGCGATAGTGGCAAGGTGCCAGCCAAGAGAGAGCGTTCTGAGAGCAGTTCCAAGGGAGGTCAGCCATCCAAAACAGACAGCACTAAACTCAGCCTGGCCTGGCATGGCATGCTGTTGCTCAAAAACAGCAACTTCCCAGCCAACATGCACCTGCTGGAGGGTGACCACAGCGTAGCCAGCGACTTGCTACTTGATTGCTCAACAGGAAGGCAAGTGGCCGAGCTAAAGATCACCCAGCGTCTTCGTCTGGACCAGCCCAAGCTTGACGAGGTGTCCCGGCGCATCAAAGTAGCTGGTCCCGGTGGCTACGCCATCCTGCTTGCAGTTCCTGGGACCACTGAGGATACATCTTCGTCTGACCCGGCGGCCTCAACTCAGCGCCCGCTTCGCAACCTGGTGTCCTACCTCAACCAAAAACAAGCAGCAGGAGTCATCAGCCTACCTGTTGGGGGGAGCAGAGATAAGGACAACACTGGGGTTCTACATGCTTTCCCTCCCTGTGATTTCTCTCAGCAGTTCCTGGATTCCTCAGCTAAAGCTCTGGCTAAGAGTGAAGAGGACTATCTTGTCATGATTGTTGTTCGTGGAGCATCCTAAAAAAAATCTGAACACAAAGTTCAAGTGATGTTAAAAAAAAAAAGAAAAAAAAATCTGCTGTTTGTCAGTAACTATTGCATGCTGTGTGTTCTGCATTATGGGGTTACACTAGTATGGTTCTTGAGTGTTTGTATGTTGCCATGTAATCCACTAAATGGACAAAAGAGCCCTCCTACCAAACTAAGACAGTGTGTGTTTTTGAAATTATTTTTAAAGGGTGAGTTAATGCTTACAAAGTCATAAATCCAAAGTGATTCAGCCAGAATTCTGTTAAACAAGAAAATAAGAGAAGTTGTTAAATTATAATTCAATTTAAAAAAGAGGAGTCATATTGGAAAGTAATTCTTGTCCATTTATGTTATAATCTTAATTTTCCACATTAACTTGAAGAAAAAAAAAAGAGTGAAAAAATAATCTCAAATAGACACAATAACACCACCACAAGTCAAACTACTAACAGTGGCCTTGCATGCTACTATGATGTTAAAGCCACATTTCTGTTACACAAACAAACAACAACTGAGCTACACAAAGGTAACATTTGTTTTGGGGCTGTTGAACTTTATAGCATCATTCAGTTTGTACTTGTTGTTATTGTGTCTATTTGTTCTATTTCAGGATATTTACCGAGTGCAATAATACTTCTACTATAATCACATTTTGATGGATAGTCACAAAGGTGAGCATGGCATTTGTGAACTGAAGGTTCTGTTAAATGAAAGGTGTAGCGAGTGATGTAGAACTACAGTTACAATCTTTGTCTTTTTAGGTTCTCAGAACATTTTGAAGACAATGACATGTTGCAAAACTGATTTTCAGTACCATACACTTTATTCATCTGTAGTTTTTGGCCATCTTACAATCTTTAAGTTACCGACCCAATGTCATCAAGGCAGTTTGGTGATAGGAGTGTGATGTACTGAAGACGTTTTGCAACATGCTCTAATTTTGATGGACCTTTCTTGCCTGAGTTGTACGCCTGTGTGCGTTCTCAATTCTGGGAAAACATTTTGAAGGTCACTTGTTTAATATAACTCAAGAAAAACTCAAATCATTTCAGTTACCTATATTGAGAATAATGTTTTAATAACTACAAATTTTGTTCAGGCTCTTTGAGTGCATTTTTTATCAATACTGATACACCAAGTTGCAAGTTAGACAATGAATTAAGTGTGTTTCCTCTGGTTAAACTCAAATGTAGACTCTATGTGGAAGAATGGATACTAACAGCTGTGACATTTTTGCCCATAACAGTACGCATAGCATAGTAAAGCAACACTAACATGTTTTATATTTTTTACTTAATATTTAATTTTGTGCATCCCTACCTTTCAAAATGGTTGTGTAATGTGATTTATGAGAAACAGCTACTAATGGATAAAAGGCTTAGATAGTTTTGTGTTGTTTCATTTATTGCTCTCAAACCAGTAGGTCTTCTCAAGAAACGTTTATTCAGTATCAGAAAAATGTTGGTCAAAGTAACAAAAAGCTGATATTTGTTCAGTGAGTAGGTCTGTGTAACGTCAGAGTATTAGACATACTATAACATTCAATGTTTGAGTTTCAATTTAGAGGTTTAATTAGATGAGTTTCTTAGCTCATGCCTGCCAACATCTTCCCAAGGCCTACTTACTGTATTTTGTTTATGACATTTATGTTTGACATGCAATAGAAACCTATCCTGAATTATAATTTGCTGAGTTTGGATAAATATGTATTGAAAATATCAGTATGTCAGAAAATTGTTATATATGTGGACATCACAACTTCTTCAAGTTGGACTCCTGAGCAGCCCTGAGGGCAGACCTTCAAACTTCTGCAGAGTGTTTGTGAGTCCTCACTTATGAAGCAGCTTTTTTAGTTGTGTATCCCATCTGCACCTGTGATGACTTCTGTTTTTGATGGAAAATTTGAGCAATGTACACTTTGATGTCAAGAGAGAGGAAAATCCGTAGAGCCCATGTGAAGCTGTTCACATACCTGCAAGTGCTTTGGGCACTAAATGTGACCGATTATCAATAAATTGTTCATTTGAAGGGAAACATGTTTCTTCGATGGAAGTGAATTGAAGAAACACACTGCCAAACCTTATTGTGTTCCATGGAGTTTTCACTTGAAATTTTGTTACTGCACACAAAAGGGGAGACAACTTGCAGTTTGTTTAGCACCTTTGAAGAGAGAACCCTGTGTCGTGTGTGGATCGTTGTTTGCATACTGGCCTTTTCTGGGCTCCTTTGTTACCCACCACAAATTACTCCCACATGATCCCCTGTTACAGCGGCATCTGAACACCTTTGTCAGGATCGAGGAGCTTCTGCTGCCCTTTCTTCACTGCCAGAATCCTGTTTGCAGTGTGAAACTTTGGCAGATGCAGACAACGGTGCAGTTTGGGAATCAAGGGCTGGAGCAAACAGCAGCATGTCCTGTGGTCCTCCTGGTAATTCCTCTAAGGGGTCTCGTGTGCACTGTTCCTGTTTCTGAATAGGAGCTGAGGAAATCCCATCACCACCCTTCACACACTCCACTCCAGAGATTGTGTGTGACACTGCTGTGAAATATCCATAGCATCTTCAGCTAAGGGTGTCTCTCTGCAGAGACAAAGCTGAACCGCTGGGCTGATTCGTCTTTATTATACTCTTTCCCATAGTGATTTGATTTGACCTAATGTTTGGCTCAGGGAAAAGGATTGGCCCAAACCTCAGCTAGGAATATTGTTTGCCCCTATCTTTGTGTCCTCCTCTGATTGAAGCGTCTCCAAGGAGACAAGTGAAGAAGTGCTGCTGTGCCGAAGCTGTATTCACTCATCATCAGAGGTCTGCTGAAGCATGGGAAAAAAATTGGAACAGGCCAAATAGTTTACCCTTTTTGCCACCGCTGGAAGTATCCACGCTGCGGACCCTCCCCCAAGTTCTCCTAAGAAACCTGTGTTTTTTTTTGCCAGTGCCCTTATACAGTTATGGCAACGACACAGGAGAGGGAGTTTTCCATTCCCTCCATTTTAGTTATAATAGTGTGAGGACAAAAGCTGTGCTGAGAAGGGCCCCTTACTTCACTAGAGAAACATTGCCATCTTGAGGACCACCGAGCACCTGCCTTCCCCTGTCAGTCTACCTGACAAAATCCCACTCATGCACAACCGACACCCAGGACCGAGCTCACTGGTGGTATCACTGTTTGACTGCTGTGTAAAAATAGCATGAGGGTGAGTAAGCAGAAAAGGTGCTGCCTGCCAGGCCTGTATCGTTGGCATAGGCAGCAGTGGTAAGTATAAAGTGTCAACACCACATGTTTTACAATAACAAATGCAAAATGGCAAAGTATCTATTTCAGCCAAAGTCATTCCTGGGCTTATTTCCACTCAAAGCAGTTAACAGAAATCATCTTGTGATTATTAACAGGACCGTTCACTGCCCCCTAACCGAAGGCATATTTACTTCAGCAGCTTCTACGTTGACAAAACAATGACATGTTTTAAATACTTATGGTAAAATGTAACACATGGTAATCATCATTCTCTAAAATTTTGAATAGGTTCTCAGTGATGCAAAAAAGATGTACAATTTTGAAAATAATTCAGGTGAGTTTTTATAGTTTCTGAAGCTGCTAGGGAAGTAATGCAGATTCAGTCGTTTTCTTTGTGTAGTTCAGTATAGGTTAAAAACCGAATTACTCTCGTTGACTTGAAGATTGATATCAGTGATGACACAAACAACCAAGAGGTGACATGAGGTTGTCAGGGAGATAGTCATACTAAACCTTTTCTTTTATCACAGTTACTTTTATTTCTCATATTGAGCCTATGTTTGAGTTTAGGTGTATATAAAGACTTTTATGATGCTGTGTAGTGGACTGCTGCCAAACTACATTTCATTGCAATTACAAAAGTATCAAACTAGGCCAAAAAACCTGCATATTTTTAAGAGGCATTTTCATTCATGATGAATGTCGTCAGCGAGTCGTGCCTTCATAACAGATAGTGTTATTGACCCTGCTTTAGACAACTGTATGAGATTAATCTTGTTCAAGCATGGCAACAATAGCAGTTGTACAAATGTAATTAGTTTGAAATAGATTGCTTCTGCCCCAGAAACATTTAGTTTCAGAGATGTTAACGACATTAGACCACAGATGATAACCCCGTGTTCATTTAACCACAGTTATTAATGTGAGATTTAATGGAGAACAAATCCTTACCTGTACATAAAACATACACCAACCGTAAAACGTGAATGTATAGTTATAATTAATCAATCTGCACTAAGAACTAAAAACTTTGATTCATGCAACTAAGTAATTAAACACCAACACTTGTCGAAGATGAGATACTTACAAACAAAGATCAACAGAAACTGGATGGATTGGTCATTCTTCTTGATTATCAGTGTTCAAACAATAGGCTCAGTTTTGCCTTTTAGGAGAGCATTTATCTTCAAACACTACACGAAGGTTATCTACTATACACAATATCAAACATCCAAATCACTGCACTTACCTACAGTTCTTGGTAAAGGTACTGCCAGTTCTTATATTACATTCTTATATTTAATCAAATGTGAACTGTTGTACAGTATGCGCTAAACAAGCACCTTAGTCATCAAATCATAGAGGGAGACATGTTTGGGATTCAAGCTAAAAAATATATATATAATTTATCTGACTGATGCAATAGAATCCACAAATTACAATTTAAAACAGTGAATTCAGAAATGATTGCTGATTGGATGTAGTTAATTAAAGGGTTAAGTATTTTGGTATCATGTTGATCAGCGTTTAAATGTCTAAAGTCTTGTCTTGCACTTTTAGCGGCGGCTGTGGCTCGGTTGTCTCTCAACCTGAAGGTTGGGGTTCGATCCCCAGCTCCTTTAGCCACATGTCTGATGTGTCCTTGGGCAAGACATTCAACCCCAATTTCTTCCCACTGCTTCATCAGCGTGTAGGAATAGGATTAGTTCCTTCTGATGGCCACTATACATAGCGACCTCTGCCATCAGTGTGTGTCGAGGGTGTGACCTGCGGTGTAAAAGTGCTTTGAGTAGTCAGAAACTAGAAAAGCGCTGCACAAGCTCAGGTCCATTTACCATTTGAATCTCACTGCAAATGATTGACACTGTCATGAGAACTGTGAACCGCTGCCACATAATAAACACATTTGTATGTTTCACAGAGTTCCACTGGACAGCAGACGATTCATCAGTTTGATTCCAGGCTGTCACTGAACATCTTCAGGTGTCGACTACACTGTAAGTAACCTGCTTTGATTATTACATCAGTGTACAAAATGTGGAAACCTTTTAAAGCCAGGTGAAATTATACATATTTGTTGTGTCTTTATTAAACTTAAAATGAGATTGAATGTAATGTGTTTATAAATAATTGTTTGTATGTCTTGATAAAGTGTCAATAAAAGGTTTCAGATATGATGTAGGTTGTGAGTGTTTATTGCAGAGAGACAGAAAATGCATTACTGTTTTCACAATCACACGACAGACTTGAGTCACATGTCGGTTTATTGCTGTCGACTGCGCACTCTTACAAGGCTTAGAAATGAGCTTTAAGCCCTTGAAACATATCTATGATTGGTTAAGCATATTTTCTAAACTATCAGTTCACAAATCTAGGAGCTGGAGTAGTGACTTAACACAGTACTTCACACAGAATTGCATATGCAGCAACATTCAATCAAACACCATCAAACAGACTCAATTGGTGTTTGAGATGTTGAAAGGCTCATAGAAAAACTCTTCTGATATATTTCTTAAACATAAAGATCATTTAAATGTTTGGGTAGCTAACAAGTCATATAATCCCAAACCAAAATCTACTTTTAAAGCATCAAATACTGAACATAAAAGATTTATCATGGTACAAAATATTCTGTGGTCCTCAATTACAAAAGCAAACTGGTGGTGAATGCAACTTGTGAGCCAAAAGAGCTTTTGTGCATGACTGTCATTATTGAAACAGCACAAAGAGCTTGCTTAGTATTATGAAGGTGAGCTGAGGGGGAATAATTTGGTACTAATTGAGACAGCATTCTTTGAGTAGAAGCAACGTTTAGCCACAAGAGGGCAGCATAAGAAAACATGTCCATACCTCTTGCCCCCTCAGTCCAAACTTGGAAACAAATGACTGACAAGTGGTCATAGTGGTTTAAGTTACATCAACTTTCAAAAAAAAAAGTAAAACAACTGATACGTTTCAAGTTTTAAGTAGGTTCTAATGTGTCTGTGGCTGACATCACAGGAAAGTTTGTAAAGATACAAGGTACATCGTAAGGCAAACTGGTGAAAAACAAGGTATCCACTGAAAACACACCAAAAAAAAACCTAAAAAAAGATAAAACAACCAATAAACTCCCATATATAAACACAATATAATGACTTAAGTTGCATTGCCATTAATTGGCCGTCTGCAGGCACTGTAAATGCTTGGCATTCATTTCCTACCAGCCAGTTGGGATACCTTGTATTTATATGGACAATTTCTGCATCATTGTATCACAGTTGGTCAGAGAATTACAGACATACAAGAATGATATAATTGACACAAAATCTCATAGAATCACATAGAAACCCCGGCTATTCAGGGGAGCTCATCGGCTCATTTGCCACTCAGAAACACAGTGATCCAAATGTATGGAAACATACTTAATCTTCCTCCAAACAGACTCTTTCTCTAAGGAGCTGGTATCTTGGCTACAGTTAAAACGATATGCACTTGAGCTGCTAATGGCAGGAAAATTACAAACAGCATGCTTTTGCATAGGACTGCTCATAAGCTGTGAGCTTGCTGTAACTATTTAGTTATTTGCAGGTAGTGCTAAGAAAAACAAAGTGAAGTTTAAGATATTTGTCTTATCATTTCTGACCCACAAAAAAAATGAAGGCAGTATCTAGTTTGTCCGAGTCATTTCCAGGTCACAGCTGAGCATTTAACAAAAGTGTGCTCACTTGCACTGAAAACTGCATGTGCAGACACTGTAAACAGTTTAAATGCCATAAAATTGAAGTTCAAGCACTTGAATAGTTTGAATTGTGCGCATTGAGAAGAGCTGATGTGTCAATCACACAGCTGTATGAGGACGGCTGAAACCTGTTAGCTAGTAGGAGACATGTCAGTGTAAAGTTTTTACTCTGTTGGTAAATATTTGCATGTTAGATAAACTGTAAACCGTGAAAGAGTTAAAGAGATTAATCAAAAGGTGGTCAATGAGTTGAGTCGTGTGTGTATTAGTGAAAGCAGGGAAGTGTAATGATTAGGCTACATTGAACACACAAGTGGCCATTGTTTTATGGGCCATTTTGAGTCAAAGGAGGCTTCCACTTTGTTTATTTTGCCAGTACCAACTGGTTGTTTGTTGCTGTAAAAATTGATTGCGGAACTAACTACTGACCTTTAAAAGCCTTCTGTAGTCTGCAGATGTGTTCCTGATATTACACAAACTCAGCTGAAAGTACAAGTTTCAATGTAAAAATGGATCACACGACCACAGAACAAAAGCTCACCGCCTTATTGTGCCGCTGAGTCCTCTGCTGCAGGTGGAAGTGTAACCACAGTGTGAGACATGGACTTAGGAATGTGACAGTTTCTTTGACTGAGTAAGTGTCCTTTGAAGTTAAAAGGCTGAGAATTTGTTTTTGTGCGAGTGCTGAACACAGCTGAGACTCTAACCGTCTCCTGCCTTTCAATGCCACATTACCGGTTTAGTCTGCCCATTCATTTAAATGGAGGGGAAAAAGTTGAAAGAGTCCCAAAATGTGAAAAGAAGACATCCTGAATGAGCTAGTCATTTTTAAAGTTTGAATAGTAAATCTTTATGAATGAATGCTGCATTAGTTGACATTCTGAAAAGCCAGAATATAATTAATATAGTGAAAGATGGTGAGACACTCACCGGTCATACCTCTTAATGCTGCAGATGCCATACAATCTACGATTTGTGCTAATGCATTCATAATGTTAGGCCAAGAGAGACACATCTTTTCTCTGTTAAATTACTGAAGCTGCGGCTACATTTGGCTTTGCAGACAGATTATACATTGTGCCAAAGAAGCAGGCAACAGTTAAGTGGTTAAGAAATTCGATATAATAACTGGGGAATCAGAGGAAGATCAGTTTTTCATGGCTTCCATTATTATCATCGAAAAAAACAAACCATATAGACAGGGTTTTTAAGCTCAACTGCAAAGCTTAGTTTCCAGTCATTTCTGTGCAAATTTAAAATACCTGCAAAGTATCTTGAAATTAGTGATTGTTGCAAAGCTATATTAAAATGTGCAGGATGATATAAGAGGTTTCAATGCATGGACCAAGGACTAGGGGATGAGATATTTTGAGAAACACTTAAATTTTGGCTTTTCAAAGTTCAACGAGATCATCCCGTCACCAACGACCCCTTAACTGTATGTTCTTCGACATCATGTAGTGCTTTCAACACTTTTCCTCCTTGGCCATTGTTGCATTCCTGCTGAATTTAAGGGTCACTTGGGTCCCGACTTTAAGCTGGAGTCCAAGGTCCACGTTATGCAGGCCTATGAAGTTCTAAGCATGCTGGTTCACGAATGTAGGCGTTCCCTTGGTTTCATTCCTACACAGCGCCGTTCTGCAGGCGGTCCGGGGTGAAGCAGCCGTTGGTCTTACAGCTGCTTTCTGCTCTCTTGTCCCGGGTCAGTTTGTTCCTGGCCTTCCAGCGCTGAGCCAGCGGCTCCATGAAGAGTGAGAGGGAGGAGAGCAGATAGCAGAGCCCCGCCAGGTAGAAGGAACAGTCATACGTCTGAGTGTAGTCATACAGGAAGCCTGCAAAAAAGTTATTTATAAATACAAATGATACACCATATGAAGGGACCTTTTTGACCACCGGATAATCACATGATCTTGTTTATGCTTTACAAAGCATGAGTACATTATTCTTCTTTATTAAAGCTATAAGTAACAATAAAACTCTTTGTAAAGGTTTCCTCTCTAAAAATGTAACCACAAAATGGCAGGAAACTTTTGTTTGTCAAATGTTTACAATTATTCCATAGTAGGACTGCTATCCCCCTGTAATATGAGGAAAACTGTTTAAAAGAGTTACGTCTGTTAACTGTTTTGTTTACATGAGCCACGTTGACATTTCAGAGCGGTTAACACGTCTGAAATCAAATGACCCCAAGTCAAATAGAACAAGTATGACCACATGAAAGCTGTTACTACGACCATTAGTGGACAGTTGACTATCCTGAAGAGAATGACTGAACAACAGGAATGTTATCACACCTTTCCTGCCTGAGGCAGGGGCCACACATTTTTTTTACTTAATAACAATAATAATAATAATAATGATAGAAATAAAAACAATTTAATTGTAAAAAGCTTTTCATTTGCCAGTACTTTGAGAAGGGCATGGTGAGGGATCATATTTTAAACCTGCGTGATCTGAGTGTAAGCTATACTGCAGGTGACTCATAATTTCCCATCTTCTTGTGTTATCTTTTTTTCTTTTTTTACATGAGCCACTTGACGTTTCACTTTTAACTGTAGAGTTGTAAAAGTACTAAAGTATGTTCCTGTATTATTGATCTTTGCAACTTCAACTTTTACTCCACTACATTAACATTGGACACCTCATTACTAGTTACAATGTAAAATCTTAATGGAATTGTCAGTCTCTAGTCATCACCATTGATTATGTAGACTATGCATGTATGCAAATGAAATGAGAGTGGTGCGCGCTAGAGGGCTGCATTGGTATCAGCGGGCGGATTTACGGTAGTGGGTGGACAAAAAAGTCACTGCCTAACTTGTGCTTACAATGATGGACTTAACAAATGACGTGGAAAGGAAGATTAAAGTTATTGTTTTAAAACAAAAAGACAAAGCAAGACAAGTTTTGTGTACAACAGGCAGAAATTCTGGCACTTCTGGGATGAGACGAAACACATGCTCCGTTTCTCTGATCAAAGTAAGCACTCCTTCAATAAAGTACTTCTCCCTGCTCATATTAAACAACACATCACAGAGAAATGTGTCTTTGCTTGCTTTGAGGACCCTGCAGCTGACCACAAGGCACCGCAGGAGGTGTGACAGGCTACAAAATGCCAAAGCAGAAATAGCATCTAACCTGTACAACAATCTCAGTTGAGCATTTGGGGCCTTTTAAATCAAGGCTTCCAGTAGCACTATTCTCCTTTCCAATGCAATGCAATACATCCTGATTTGCATAATCTTCCCATGACTTCAGGCAGTGCTGAAATGCTGACATCAATGGGCCACAGGAACCACTGAGGTCCTTGAAGTGAAGTCCCTGGAACTAAGAGCGCACTCACTAGCAAAGTTGTCCCATACCATGCTTAAGTACGATTGACCCCCCTCCCCTTTCACCGCTGGCCTGCACTCATACTGCAGCAGGTCTAACAGTGCCTGAGCACGGTTACCTCTTCTACATAAGATCGTAAAACAACCGAATACAACACATGCATGAAGCATCCTTAGTTTAAAAGACAGGCGGAAAAAAAATGACGCGCTGTCTGGTCCACGTCCGCACATGGGAGAACAGCACAGAGAACATGACAGCTGCTTTACTGACTTTGTGGCTTATTTTCAGTCATTATTAGTCCGATACAGCCACAACACTCTGGGATTTCTCCATAATGAAGGCTGTCAACGTTGTGTACCCGTCTGCTTGTGCTCCTGCATGAACTGTATCGTGCCGAAGCACACTTCTCCGAAGCATGACAGGGCCAAGGAAGTGTACCTACACTACACTCTGAACATATATAAAGTCTGTATGACTTTAATATTGTTATCATTAATATCACCAGGGTTAAATCAGTCCAGGGTTTTCAAATCTTATCCACATGTTTGTAGACAGTCTGGAGCCGTTACGCATGATGAGGATGAGAGCGTTGTTTTTTTCTTTGAGTTGTCCTTACAGCCTCCGGTGAGACAACAGAATGTGAAAATCTGGCTGTCTTGTTTTTTTGTACTTTTCTTCACAATGCTTAAGAACATCTCATCACCAGATACTTAAGTACATTTCTAATTGGCTACTGTAAGACTTTTACAGTCATTTTCTATAAGGTGCCTCTTACAATAAGCTAAATAACTTTCATGTGAGGTTTCTTTAATTTCACTTAAGTATGGTTTTTAAGCACTTTTTCCAACACTGGTTAATTTGAGTGAAATCAAATGGTCCCAAGTCAAACAGAACAATTATGACTGCAACAAAGCTGTTACTGAGCATTAGTGGACAGTTGGCTATTCTGAAGAGACTGACTGAAACACAGGAATGTTATCACACCTTTTCTGCCTGAGGCAGGGGCCACACTTTGACTCATGTCAGTTTTTTACTTGAACTGCAGGGATGGTAAACAGAGCCACCTGCTATTTTTGTACCACCCTGAAGCATGTCATTAGTCACATTAAAACCCTGAAATCCATGAACTCCTGTGAGGTGGTATCCCAATACTTAGAGAAGGGACTATGTCAGTAGGTTCAAGGGACCCCCATCCCCATTCATCAACAAACAGACACTTTAACTGGGGCCAAATGTTACCTTAAAGGGCACTACCTGGAAACACCCCACACATACACAGAAAAAGAATGGCCATAATATGTGTTTATCATGTTACAACACGCTGGGTGTCTGCTCTTGTTTCTGCATGAGGTAATGTGTTCAACAGATGATTGATATGTCTGGTATGTTTTTAGGATGGCCTAGAAAAATCTAAGTTCATTCCAGGAAATCTACGACAATTTGAGGTAACAAAAAACACTGTAATAGAAAACTGGGTATAGATAGGAAACAGATCTCCAAGACTAACAAAGTCAATCTGCCATCACTTAAACAAAGTCAGTCAGACCCGGCCATGTTATTCCAGCTCAACTCTCTTTTAGTATGGGGGAAATTTGACCCAGTAACCCCCATATGCATTTTCTTCAAAGCAGACTCAAAATTCCAGTCTGCATCTATAGAGCTGCACTGACTATAGGTTGTTTTTGTCCTGTTCGTTTCAGTTTCCACGCTCCGAAGTGACTGAATGCAGACGCACACTTAAAACACACTGCAAGGAATTTAGGACCCCATGAAAATCTGGGCTACAACACCCCCTAACATACATGTTCATTAGAAAGCCTTACAAACCCAGTCACTGATCTCCAGACTTACTCACTCTTTTTAAAGCTCTTATTAACTGACAGACAGAACCCTGGAAACATGTAAAAACTCACCCCATGGCTAACAAATCATAGTTGAACAAAAACCTCATGGCTACAATCCATTGCATATGAACTGCATTATGTAAGGGTTTGTTATTGTGTGCATATGAAAAAGTGGGTTAGCACATGTCAGACTTCCTGAGAGCCTTCAATGACATCATCCACTCACCTGCCAAAGGAGGCCCTGTGAGGCAACCAAGGCCCACAAAGAACATGGAGAAGCCCATGGAGTTGTTGAGTTTCTCTGCCCCCACGAGATCTACCTGCAGAGAAGAATAATACATCATAATATGTGACATTAAACCTGGATCTCTTCACACACAAACACAGGCACTTATAAAGATAAAATGTTTTTTTCTGCTTTTATATTAGCACAATACATGTTTCATACACTTCAAATGACTGCAATATTATGATACACATTTTAAGCCTGTTAAAGGCTTTTAAATAAATAGAAAACCATGCTGATGAAAACATTCAGGCTTTTGAGCACCGTGAGAAAACAGTTCCCCTTAAGACCTAAATGCCACAGCAAGCTTAAGAAAACAAAAGAAATCAAAACAAAAAGAACATGCATCTACACAAACCGTCTCCAATATTCTCCTCTAAGTTAATGACTCACATGTCAACAACTTATCAAATAACACATCTATATGATAAACATTACAATGTATGTGTGGATTTACATTATCAAGTGTACGCTATCATTTTTGTAGAGAATACAATGACTAAATAAGGCAAAAAAATCCAAGAGTAGCCCATTTGAAAATCTTGGTGCTCTCATATAAACTTTATAACAGCTATTACTCGAATGCATATGTCTGTCAACACAGCACTTGTATTTTTACTGGTGTGTGATCATGCATGGTCCAACAGTACATATGTCTGAATATATGTCCAAAGATAAAAGTCATGTCAAAACATGAAATGTAGTGAATAGTTGAGTTTTTCTGTATTCCTTGTGACAAAGAAACAAATAGCACCTAAATATAGCCTCCTATGCTGAGGTCATGAATGGTTGTTTGAATAAAGAAAAGAAAACTGGACCAACCTACTCTTCAGTTTCAATTCAAGGTAAAAATAACAAGGGATTACACTTGTCAACGTTTAATCCCAGAGGCATGTACTGGCCTTTAGACCACACCACTGCCTCCTCACGTTTTTTGTTGTCAGGTGTGAGTGATATGATCTGAAGATATAGGATCCTCCATTACTCAATATGTTGTTCAGCTCATAAAAAGGTGTTGGGAAGCTTCTCCAATGACCACATTCAATGATACGTTTACCTTTCACAATGATGTAATGAGGCAACGCACGAAAGCACATAGTGGGTCTTCATGGTTCACGATAGTGAGACGGTTTCTGGTATAATTGTGTAAATGTGATAAGATATTGGGAGAGTTTATCAGGCAATTTTAAAGGGCACCTAAGATTCTGCAGCATTTCACTGATTATCTCAAAGAGAGTTTTGAATTTGTTGGGAATTACTTTTTAAAGAAATATTTAAGACACTGTGACCAGAATTATTTGTTCTTTTTTCATCTCCAAACATTGTAAGACTAGTGGAGACATTTCTTAGATCTTTGAGTCTGCAATAACGGTGAGATAAAAAGTGTATTTATGTGGTGTACTTTCAAAATAAATTACCCGCAGGTTCCCTAAATTAAGTTTTGTAAGTTGGAAAGTTTTTTGAGTCACTAAAATGTGCTGAGTCTACAAGCAGCTGCTGATTTCTAAGAAATGTTTTGTAATTTTCTTGAAGGAGCTTCTCCTTTGATAATCAATCAGTTAGAAAACCTGTGTTGAACCAACCTATGGTCCAGACTCAGGTAGCTGTAAAATGTTTTAAAGATTGCAGTGACCTTTTGTACTCACATTCTCAATCGCCATAGGACAAATTGTATACAGTTTTGAATTACTTATCTGTTTATGTAGTACATCATCCCAACAATCATCATTATCACTTTTATTAAAAACCAAGTAGAAGTGTTAGAAAAGGTGGTTGTCGTAGTTGTTGAAGTTTCTGCCTCAGATATTGTCTGAGTTAAAGGACAATAAGAAATACCTCAAAATCATGTGTGTTTCTAAATTACAACAATGTGCTGTGGATCTGATACAAAAAGATAAATGAACAGCATGACAAATAATAAAGTCGCTTAATGTTATAAAAACCATCCCATGAAACTAGATGGATTTAATTTGCATTGAAAGAAGTAATGTTTCCTGTAATATGGCTGTAAATGCATCTGAGTTTATCCATGTTTAAATATGAGAGACGCGGTTCAGAAGCCTGTCCTGATGACAGCTTCTTTGTACTGCATGACAAGCTTGTCTTTGGTCATTCAACCCCTGCAGTCAACTTCAAGCATGCATCTAGACAGATAAAAAAATATATATATATATCCATCGGATTATTTGAATTCACTTAATGAATGCTGTCTCCGTTTCATCACAATAAGTCCCAAATTAACCCTCTCAGTCGTTTCCAGGAACATTCGTTTAAGTTACATTTGAGTTATTTTCTTTAAAATGACACAAAACTCTGAGACCTATGAAGAAAATGTACCCTTATTGTAATGGAGGTTAAATTGTGGAAAAGACAGTAAATTTGCATAGCCTTGTCCAGATAGGGTTGTTTCTTACTAGAACAGGCAGCAGCAGAGCCATGTATCCTCCACAGAAGATAGCAAAGAAGATGGCGTACACCATCAGCAGGATGTATGAGGTGGCCTGTGGGGAGAGCAGGTTGACCAGGCCGCACAGGATCAGGTAGGCCTTGTGGTAGTGGTATTTATGGAACAGGTTCATGTCAGTCACCCAGCCTGAGGCCAGCTGGGCGATGGTCTCTGTGATACCTGCAACAGAAACAGACAGGTCTGATGAAGACAAACAGTTCAACAGTGGGGCTTCATTTAAATTTGAAGAGGGTGAAAGAAGGGCATGTTAGTTAAACTGTCAGCTCACACAGCTCAATGATTTTATATTCACGTTTAAAGTTAAATGATAAAGGTACAGCCATTAAAAAGAGTATGTGTCTAAGTTTTTAATGTTACTTTTAGATTTCGGCTGCTCTATAAGGTTCTCGAGACGGACTGGGGAGAGCTTACAATAAAATATTTAGATGGCAACGGGAGACTAATATTTGGTAATGGTGGAATCTCAAACAACAGATGTACAACTGCACTTTTAGATAAAATGCCTTTAATAATTGAGAAGCTTCACATTTTAAATGAGGAAAACAGACCTAATAGTCATAATCAGGTAACAGTAGGGACTTCACTATCCTCCTTTATCACGGAACCAATTAACATAATAATGATGTCCATTATAAGACACCCTCCTCACTTCCTGAACTAACAATATAACTGACCCATTAAACAAATTAAGCATCCAATACATCTGTGTCTAAATATCCCATTGGTCAATACGTTTTAGTAAAGATTTAAATAATTTTGTTTTAAATGAGTGCGCCTTAGAGGCACAGATAGGCATATTGTGATACCTTTTGAAGGAGAGACTAGCTGTTTTAATCTGTTTCCAGGTTTAATGCTCAGCTAATGCACAGATACAGTCCAGACCAAGCTGTACAATTACAGTAGAATAACCAAAAGACACTCCATACATTTAAGAGTCAGTTACCTTAAAGAAAAAACACAACTGTAAGTGATACCTTCCCTGCCGATAGATACAATTTCAAGTCACAGTTTCGGAACCCCCGACCTTCTGGTTGAAAGACAACCGAATCTACCACTTAGCCACAGCCCCAATCATCTGCACCACTGCATGCCACAAGCGGGGGGGGTTAGTTCACCGCTCTTAGCCATGCTAGGCATATCTCTTGGGATGTTCTGTGATCCCTATCCAGCAGATATATCTCAGCTCTTATTGAGGAAGCATTTCCATTTTGGTTTGATTGCAGGTGAGCATGGTAGGTATTAAACCTGCTAAACATAACAAGTCAGCGTATGTATGCTCGCAAGTGAATAAGAAAAATTAATGTGCCTAAGGGCTGTCTTAAAAAGCTAAAGACTCACAGTTTATTGTTACTTTGGCCTTTAAGTTGCATTTAAACTTTCAACAGGTTGTACCAGATTAGCTGAGTTAGTACAACATTTGCTTCATGTCTCTCTGTATTTCTCTCTCTCTCTCTCTAATATGAAAAATGGTTAATATTATTTTTTCACCTGCCCCTAATAGGGTCACCTCACTATAAAACATGCAGACATCTTTTCTTATCATCTAGACTATCTTGCTCATGTCCTAAAAAAAGTAAACACGCAAGTTATTGTGTTGAAAGAATCAAGATGGAGCTTAGGCACAAATGTTAATCCAGAAGAGTTTTCAGAGGCTGACACTCCTGTCTGCATTTTGAAGTCGTGCTTTGTAACACAAAAAGATTGTCATGTCGAAGTCAGCCAAAGTACTGCATAGAGCGGTTCAATTGCAGCTGATGTGATCTATACAGACACTTACACAAAGTAACATGCAGGGACCTTGGAGCAAACCTTAGCCCATCCCTCACAATACTGCACTTATTTTGTGCTTAAGTGAGCCTAAGCATAAATGGTGTTGTGTGTTTCTCTGAGAGAGAGTTTGAGTGAGGGTGGGGCAAAAAAATAAATAAAAAAAGCATGTGAGGAAAGGCTGACGCTCTGCAGCAAAAATACAAAGGTCTGCATTGGGATTAACGTGGCGTCAATTCCCTGTCGTTCCCATTCTCTGAAAGTGTTCCCAGAAACAGTGGGTAGCAACACGTTCATCTGTTAACATCTCTATTACACTGGAAACACCCAGGCAAACTACTCATTACACTGTCCATCCCATCTGATTGATTGTTTGCTGCACACGGGTATGATGACTTGGCAGATATGTGCTGCTCTCTGCTGAGGTCAACTGGAACGCGATAGGTGATGCGGAAACTGCAGTGGTTTATTGACCGTCGCAGGAATAGCTACAAGAAGGCAGCGCTGAGCCATTGATCAATGAAACAAACAGGTTCTATGCAGATCACAGTCATTCATCCTCTGCACCACAACCACTCAGGCTGCAGTCACTGACAATCAGCGTGAACTCAGGATAGATTTTTTTTTTTTAAATCTGCTGAATATGCATGAGTTTGCATAGAGAATGAATCAGTAAAGAAAGTCTGCTTTCTATTATTTCAAATCAGCAACATCTTCTTTTTACAGCTTTAGACTGAGCTGAATTGAATAAAAAATGATGCAAGGAACACCTCTGCCTTCCTTACATAACAGCATCTCCTCTCCCCAGAGGTTACAGAGATGACAGAGGCAGCTGTGCAGTGTTTATGTGTCCTCCTCTGGCGAACCAAGACGGCATCCTGGGGTGTCCCCTGCCTGCATGCAGACAAGTTGGAGTTTGTTTGTGTGTTTTAGCCTCAGCAGGATGGTGCAGGCCTGCAGCTGTTCTTGTTCAAACTCATCACTATGCAGTTTAAATTTGGCCTCTCCAAGTAGCACCTTCAGCTAAGTGCATAAGGGACATTATTTTCTCCGTGTTTCCCTCTGCAGTGTGCACAGGTATTAAAGGTGTATGCCCATTCCTCTGGGCTTTAACTGACAGGGAGGGTGGGTGTGTAAAGCATGAAAAGAGGCCCCTCCTCCTCCCCCAGTCACTGGATTAAAGCAAAGGGTTTTAAAAGGCATGTTGGTTTTCCCAGCTTCTCTGCAGTGGCACTTGGCTTGTCTCGCTTGTCTTTTGTGCGTATTCCTGCCTCAGTGCCCCTCTGCAGAGTATCGACCACTTTAGAACTGGGCTAGGACAAAATTGGGAGCCCCCTCTTGTCACCACGCCAGCAAACTTACTCAGTTAGCTGTTGCTTGGCGACCGGAGTTAGCTCCAGAGTCGGTGCTGAGTTTGACCTGAACAATCGTGGCCTCCCTCCTTCAGCCGAGTCAATGGGCCTCTCTGACAGCCGCTGGGACAGGGAGAGAGGGACAGCAGGACACTGGGATGGTGGCTTTGTGGTGTGGTTGGCACCCCATCTCTCTCTCCCTCTGTCTCTCTTTCTCTCTCATTACAGTGCACGTGATTGGAGGATGTGACAGAACAAACGTGTCCGAGTTAAAAGAATCTGTTGCTCATGCTGCTCGCCAGCACTGGTTATTGAAAAGCTTACAAGATGTTTTCACAGACGGACAAGGGAATGGACACAGCTACATCTAAAAACTGGTTTAAGCGCAGTTAAAGAATGACTGTTACACATATTAGATATTTCATCTTGTGTGTTTTTATACAGCTGTGTCATTCGATCACAATCACTGCCACTGATGACGACGAGCTGCTTAACTGTTTTTCGTTGTTATTATAGCAATAACAATAATATAATAATGATAACAACAATAAAGATATATTCTATTCTATTCTATAGTTTTTGCTACATCAACACCTTTTTCACCCTACCTGTGTCTCTTTAGCAGGACATAATTCCTGCAGTATTGCTGACAATTAAAAAAATGTCTAAACTAAAAGCAAAAAAAAATCTAAAAGCATATCTCAGAAGCCAAAGCCTTGCTGAATAATTGAAACAGCTAGATGTCATTTTACATTCATGACATCATCTCTAACACCTTTCTACATTTAATACATCCTAAAGTAATGTAGAAGACTTTCTGTTCATTAAACTGTCATAAGTAACATCTATGAGATAATATGACCTTTGTCTGCATTTAACTGACTACCAGGGACGGTTTACAAACAAAAGCATGTAACTCATGAACACACAACCCATCTGATACATTTCAATTATTCACAAAGCCTGACCAAGCAATCTTTAAGAATCACATGCACATGTGGTGGCTGGTCAATATGTAAATGCTGTTTTCTGTTCCATATGGAGAGGCCTCATAGATGGCATACAGTTGAACCCAGCTGCCTTTGCTAGTGGACCAAAGTTCAGCTTTTATGTAAGCGCATTCATTACATAAGACTGCAGAGTCTGAGCAGCTCACAAATAATTAATGCCTTCAAGTTGACTGAGGACTTTTTTTTATGTTGCTTCTTAAACCCAGTCTTAGAGCAACCTGGACCTCCCTCATAGTCACAGTGAGATCTCTGCTGGAAGCCACAAACAGCAGGAATGTCCTGTGTATATTTGAAGTATAGGAGGAGAGAGTGTGGTTTATGACTAAAAATGTAAGCATCATCAACATGTTAGACCTGATTAAAACATAACTGGTGTCTAATCTAGAAGAAAGGAGTTGGTGAGAGGTTATACTAGTGTTGATTGTTGGGGACATTAAATTTGGTTCACAGACTGGAGAAGCACTTCATAGGTACCCTGAATTAAGAATGCCACGGTTGTTTCATCAAAATGAAAAAAAATGCCTCCATTATAGACTTAAAAGGTTACCAAATCATGTCTTTCATCAATAAAGAGATGTTTCATCAGTGTATATTTTACAACATGGACACTGTATAGCATAAGCATAAACGAATTGTGCAATGAAATCCTTAATTCTGATTATCTCTACTTTATAAGACATGGCTAAAAGACATATTTTATTATACAGTCAGCGCACCCCAATTAAAATGCATTGAAGAGTTTCATTAGTAAGTTGCTTTTTAAGAAGGGCATGAAACAACAAAAGGAACTCTTGATCAACATGTGCTCACCTGCCACAGAGATGATGAAGGAAGCGTCCATGGCATCAATGCCCAGGGTTCTGGCACGGGCAGACAGGTGGAAATAGGGGATGAAGTAAGCCAGTTGGCTGAAGACCAAGGACCAGGTGTAAATGCAAAAGAAAGGGTCTTTTAACAGGGAGAAATCCAGAACTTTGGTTTGTACGACAGTCACCTCAGTTGGCGTGCTGGCATTTGAGGGAAATCCAACAATGGTGGAACCATTCATGCTGCCATTGAGCTCTGCAGAGCTATCTGGAGTTGCGGGTTTACACTGACCCAAGTCACAGTGGCCGTTTACCCCATTAAGGACCAGTCTGGTCAGTTCAGGGTTCACAGACTGGTCCTGGAGTTCCTGAGTACATTGGCCCTCCAGATTGTCTTTGTGAGGGGTTGGAGGAGGGGGTGGGGAAGGGAAGGAGTCTGATTTGGAGATGCTGTTGGATAAATGAGAGGAGCCGTTCATGCAGCTCTTAGTGTATTCTTTCTCTGAGGAGCTCTTGATGGAAACAGCAGGGCTCTTTTGGATAGGAGAAGAGGTAGGGTTTGGCACAGGGGGCTTCACGTTGATTGGCCGAAGGAGCATCCCAGTGGCCACCAGGTTCAGCATGAGACCACCAAGAATCAACATCGCCCCTGTAAGAGGCAAAGAAACTTCAAGATCCAGATGTCAAACACAAATTATAAATATGCACCCACGAAAGAATTGAATCCGCTCATTAACAGATCTGTCTTGAATACCTTGCCAAGCATACTGATCCAGAAGCCACTGAGTGAATGGAGCCAGGGCAAAAGTCAAGCCCATCCCAGAACGCCCGATTGCATACGCTGTCGCCAGCCTCTTTCGGAAATACAGCGCAGTGACCACGGAAAAGGATTGGTATAGTAGTGCAAAACCCATTCCTATCGGGACAATGGAGGAATAATGGACATTTTTATTAGCAATCCCAGTGTATATTTTTGCCAGACAAGATTAGATGAGGTATTTTGTGCTCACCATGTAGTCCTACTCACCAACTACAACTCCCATGCTGATGTAGAGGAACACCACACTGTAGGCAAAAATACTCATGAGGAAGCCTCCACTAACCAGCACTGCTCCAGCAATGGAGGTCACCCTGGCTCCAAGCTTGGCACAGGCAACTGAGGCAAGGGGTGCTACAGACAACAGAGAGGAGGGAGCACACAAAGGTGGTTTCAATTTCAAATAATTAAGTGTAAACGGGCAGAGGGAAATTGGCTTGAAATGGTATGAGCTTTATCTGTTCTTACAAAATCAGCAGAGACATTGAGGAACACACAAGAAAAAGTTATTATCTTTATATACAGTCTTTGGATTGGTGTGCAGGGTATACAGAGTATTTTTGGCCAAGACAAACCTCCAGACAGACGCAGACTTGACATGATGGAACCGATCCAGCTGATGCTCTCCGAGGAGCCTCCGAACTCATCCTGGAATGCCACGAAGAAGATCCCAAAACTCTTAAGTGTTCCCATCACTAGGACATTTACCTGCGCCCACACACATGAAAATATGAAATTGATTGAGTAACTGGTTGAAGTTTTGTCTTTCAGCAACTTGCCAGAAAAGACCACCTTATAACTGAACACAATATATCTGCATGTGAACACAGAGGTAAGGAAACCAGGCAGCTAAGGAAACATGTTGCTCTTCAAGGCTTAATATTCACATGTTTGAAAAGTAAGGAATCATAAACATCTAACATAGACATACCAGGAAACAATGCAGCACCACCATCCAGCCCCAACCTCCATCTGGAGGTTCCCCATACTGGATCTCTTTTTCCTTCTCCTTCTTTGAGGTCATGGCGTCCTTCCTGAACAGGTTCATGGCTGCCTTGGCTTCACTGAGAGAAAAAAAAAATCTATATAAAATTTATAAAAAATCTCATAGGCTGCCTTATCAGCTCTCATTCATTCATATTTAACGAGCACAATATTTTAAAGTAACCCTCAGGATTCACATGAAAAAAGTCAAATGATCAAGAGGCACAAAGTCTTCACCTAGTCACAAACATGTGGTTAAGAGATAATAGAATATACATTGGTGCTCTGTAAAGTGCCCATCAGTATTAACTAATCCCATTCATTCAAATTCACATGTTGATGTTAATGCCACCGGGAGTAGTTCAGGGCTGAGTCTTTTGCCAAAGGACACTTTAAAGGACTTGGACTACAGGAGCTGGGAGTGAACCACCCGTCCTCCAGTTGGGAGACAACCAACTCTGCATCTGAAAGGAACCCATAAAGGATAAAACTGACGCTTGTCATTAATTTTTCATCATATATGACAATGATTACTATTCTAATCATCGGGTATATCGTACATTGTGATCCTGTAAGGCTATACCAACAGGTGATAGTATTGTTGTCTTAACTTGTTGTCCAGCTAACCTGGGTTAAATTTCCACCTCTTTTGCTCTTAATACAGCTACTGCACTGGACTGAATGTCTCAGCAGTGTTAAGTGTGTTGGTTTTATATGTATTATGCTTCTAGGAATACTCAGTTATTGAGTCAAGTATTGACATGCTGTGGCATAAATGGCAAAAGTTTGCTTGAATTATTATAATAAAGCTTAATGTGATATTTTAATAAAAAAAAAAAAAAAAAAAAAAAACATAAGCCTAGATGTCTGTTCCAGGAGGCAGCAATGCAACATTGTTTAGTAAAACCAAAGAACTCTCTTACATCTGGTTCATGAGCTCATGTGAAAAGATTTGCAAAAAAAGCCTGATCTTTCTCAAAACCTGCTTTGAGCGACTGACGTCCAAACCAGTTTAAACCGAGCAATCTGAAATCAGTGATTTACTCAAAACGACTCAAGTGAATGTTTTAGACTGATTGGAGATGAATTTAAAAACTTTTTTTCTTCAATGCACTCAAAGCAGAATGTTCCCTGTTTCTGGGATCTCTCATTCACATGCCCTTCAGTACCAACTGTAGAGGTTAGAGTCTCAGCCCGAGCTGGCCCAACTCGGCCCGCTGCCTGAAGCCTGGTCAGGCAACCAACACCGATTGGTTAGCAGGCAAAAAGAGAAATGTAGAGTTCAATTTATTCCAAAAAAAATCAGGTCTGCAATTGATTGAGGTAGGAAATTAGTTAGTATATTCATGGATTTTTGCTTTAAAAAACAACAACAGCACAAAACAAATACATAGAATTCCCACCTTGCAGGCCTGGCCAACCTGTCAAGCAAGGTTAGGGGAATTTTTTTTTTAATTCAAGACTTGCATTAAGGGAGTATCTTTCAGAGTTTTCCTCTAGGCATTCACAAATAACCTCAAAGCATACAGCATACAAAAAAGCACTGTGCCTCGTCATCACACACAAGACTGTACATTTAAGGAGAGGACTTTTACACTAACAGATTTCACCAGTACTAGGATCTGTCACCTGCAGCCAGCTCACCTTTTAACAGCAGGTTTTTGTAGAGATGGTATGTAAAGGATTTAGATACAGCTGTGACCCCTTATGTTATCCTTAGACTGCAGGCGAAGGAACTGAATCAGCCATGAAATATTAAAGTGTCTCTCCTTCACATAATCCCCTCCAAGTGTTTCTGTGATGTTGCAGTTACAAGGCTGGGATGCTAATGTACAAAAGTTTTTGTGCTTACAACACACTGTCGTCACAGTGAAGACACCAGAAAACTTTGGACTGGTATCCTTCTTAAGAGAAGATAAGATATACTTTATTGTACCCTTGGCGACAATTAACTTTAACTCAAAAATCGGAATCTGATTACTTTGGAACAATTTCCTGTTTTCAACAAATTTGAAGACTTTCCTTCAGGGTGTAACGGTTTCACGAGAATGGGAAGAATAGACCCAAGGCAAAAAAAAACATTTTAAAAGGGTATGTTTGACCAAAGCAGATTGACTTTTTTTTACTTATCCTTTCTCCAGGTGACTTTAGAAATCTGTGTAGTTCCATATGTAAAGAGTGAGTTAATTGGTGACCTATGAGATAATGCAGTTTGATGTATGTACTTACAAATGGCAGAGGGGTTCAACAATGGCATTAATGGATTACATAATGTCATGTTTGGTGTGTATAATGTTCCTGGGGATACATGTGTCAACACATGTGTATATACAGTATATTTGTAACTTATAAAGTTAAGCCACCTGACTGCAGCTTTGTGACACGAGCCTGCGCTGCTGCCATGAGAGGATTTGCCAATGACCTGTTTACGCCTGAGATGTGAGCGAGATGTACTTCAGCATGACTTGTAACTTAACAGGAAACGTGTGAGGTCACATTTAAACATGCCTTTGATGCGTGTTCACAGATATCAAATGAGACTTGTTGGGAAGGAAAATAAATGTATATTCATGAGACCTGCACAGTCTAAGAAAACATGCAATGTGCTTTAACTTAACATTTTTCAAATCAATACATAAGCAAATACTACCACATAGATTTTAGTTATAAATCATTTCAGTTTAATGTCTATCTGCTATTGTTCATGTTTTACACTATACTTCGGTTTGCAACTTGTTGAGGGAGAAATCATTGCTGGTTTAATAAATTATTGTTTTTTTATTTCTTGGAATAAATTCAAACTTATGGGATGTTTTTATTGCGAATGCTTATATAGCTAATATTGCGATCTACTTGCACAGCCCTAAAGTTAATGCATTATATGGATATACTTTGGAATAACTTCCCAACAAACATTTCTAAGTATTGAAAGTCATTAGTTCCTTAATCATTTCCCTCAAGGTGGAACAACTGAGAACCAGATTCAAATGTGGATTCAAGCACAGTTTGGGTGTTGATGGTGAAAGAGAAAGTCAAAGAGCAGTCACAGTGAATGAGAGAGTTGGACATTTTTAACAACAATTGTAAAAGGACATTTGTAAAAGAAAAACCTAGCTGTCTGTTCATTCAAAAAGTATATCCTTTCGACCAATCATAACTGTTTATTAAGTATAACATCACAACTGAATTACAAGGTCACACATGGTGACAAAGACCGTTGTTCAAGAAGCGCAGCTGGATAAGAGAACAAAAATAGTCTGTCCTGCTTTGAATCAATCAGGCAAATCTCAAATTCGTCATGCATTTTTACATCTAATTTCCCGCCCAAATATTTATCTTTTAGAAGATGAAAATGTCTTTGATTCAACAACAAACTATGATTTCAATTGATTACTATTTCTATACATGCTGTGACTAGGGCCAGCAAAATGCCTTTGAAGCAGGGAGAAGGAGAGGTGCACAGTAAACCTGTGTGTACCAGCAGTCTTTTGTAGACTGCATCACTACCTGAGTCTGACTTAGACATGTATAAGACGCAAGGACCACATTAGGCAGAAAACACAGAGGGGATTAAACGGGGAATGAATTGGGCCAGTGTACTGAGGGAAAAGAATTTCCCCCCATGTGCTGTTCACAAGTTTAGTGCTTCGATGCATGTTTGTGAATGTGTCAGGGGTCTAGGAGTTCCATTGAGGGGGATCAGGGCTTTCTAGTGAGGCATTAACACTGTGTTATTGCACGCTTCTCTCTTTAACTTTAACATCATGGTCCCGGTCTAATATGAGTTAACTATGGGAATCATGTTTTGGAAAATCTGTCACAATGTGGACATACAGACCCTCACAAAGGCTTAAACCCAAAGTGTTTCTTTAAAAGCTAACACGAGTAGGTAACACATCTTTTCTTCCACCACTGAAAGACTTATTCTTTGGTTTCTAATGTGTGCGTGAAATCTGTAGCACAGCTTTTAAAGCATCCTCTGTAAAATGCATGGAAACAAACACATGTTTCAGCATTCATTCAGAGTTACACACAAAGACGCATTGTGTGAAACCAAAAGGCCTAACATATGTTTCCAATGCATTATTGTCCTCATGTAACATTTGCAAAAGCTTGTTTTCTCGCCAAGACTTTAAATCCAGAACTGTTTACATTCATTAATGCTCTGTTTAATACTGCCTTTGCTGGAGTGTTTTTGCCAACTTCTGATCAGTGGTCGGTAATCATTGGCAGGAATGTGTAACACAACATTCAAGTGTATGTGTCATACAGATGTAGCTCTTTAAAAACTACAGAGTGTACCCTAAGGAATCATTCACGGTTCTGAGAAATATGATTATTAGCTTTCCGAGTCAGGTGAGAAGATTGAGACTGCTCCCAAATTTGTAGAAAATGAAGCTAGAGCAACCACTCACATGCAAGGTAGAAACATGAAGAGACAGTCTGCTCAGCGTAGAGGTAACAAAACCCCTTACCAACACCTCCAAAGCTCATCTGACAACATCTCATGTTTGAGTCCTACAAAAAGGAGGAATAAATAGTAATAATATCGTAATAAATAGTAATAACACTACAGGTGTGGTTATGTAATCTGTACATAACCACACCTGTAAAGGAACATGATATAAGATCCAGGGAAAGACAGAGATGGAATTTCACACAAACAAGAGTGTACTTGTAGAAGAGAAACCCTTCATTAAGGTGCTTAAGTCTCATGTTCACTTTAAGGATATGACACATTTAGAAGTGAAACAAGTTCAGCCAGTGTCCCGTACAGAACTGAGCACAGTACAGAGCCTCATTTCTAGTGTCATTGTTGATTACATCTTTTGTCAACAACAGAAGAACTCAGGTGACTTGATGCAAATGCTCCTTTTGCGATAAGGAATCTGCAGTTACACCCTAAAGTTGTCCTTTGTCACACAATTTCCAAATGCTGCAGAATAAAGTGAGTAAGTAACACAGCACAGATGGACACAGCACAAATGTTAAATATTGTGTATAGAAAATTTAAATATGTACAAATGCACAAATATTGATGTGCAGAAAAGAATGAACATCTGAGGGACAGAAGGGACTTCTAAGGAGACCAAGATGTTGAGTTACCTCCTCTGCAGCTTTGGTAGTCTGCCTGTCGGCTCTGGAGTTAAAAAATGAACTCAGATGGTCCTATTCTCTGAGTGTCATTCTTAGGTTGCTCCAAGGGCACTGGTAACTCGGCTGTGTCAATGTTTGCGTTAAACCTGTAACAAAAAAGTGGCTGGTCAGAAGTGCAGAAACAGGAATATGATAGAAAAATGAAAAAACGTCAACAATTCAATGCAGATACATCCATAGAACATAGAAAGAATTTGACAGAAATTGCATAAAATTCATCATCTTGTATCGCAAAAAGTGTCTGTATAGAATGTGCCGCTCAAGCTCATGTAAAAAATAATTCAAAGAATTAATGAAAACTTTGTCCTGCTGGTGGTAATAGCAGTAATGTCTGAGGTCACTAAAGCTATTACTCCACATATCACAAGTGCCTGTAACATTTGTTGGGGTATTTCAGGCTAAAATATCAGATCAAAACAGCTATTTTGCCTTTACAGGTTGCCTTGACTTAAATCATTTCCATTCATACACATTCATACACTGCTGAGGAAGCAGTGGGAGCAATTTAGGATTAAGTGCCTTGCCCAAGGACACATCGTACACGTGTTACAGGAGCTTGGGACCCTCCAGTTGAGCGACAACCGACTGTACCACTGAGGCACAGACGCCCCATAACACATGTCAAGCACTGACAGGAATGTTTCATTCAGCTGCCTTCACAAATAAAATCAGACAGATGTCTGTCTGTTGCTGACTTTCGAACTCTGCAGAGGAGTGTCCACACCTGCAGAGAGCAGATTACCCCCCGCCCTACCCCCTCCCCCCCACACACACACACACACACCCACCCATACACACAAACACACAAAGCTGGTCTTTAAGAAACCCACCCAACTGCTTCTACAGGTTAAATGGTCAAGAGCTTTGCATTTTAGTGCATTTAGCTTCATGTGCTTTTTATTTTACTTTTTTTATTTTTTTACTTTAGGGCAAATCTAAAGGGAAACATTTTCATACAAACATTTGTTCAAACAGCAACTAAAGGATCTTTGATTTGTCTCATGCAAGCAAGCTGATGGACAGCTCACTGAGAATATTGCTACATAACCTGCACAGACATGTCTTCATGAAAAAAAATGACAGCTGGAAAAAACCCATACAATACCTAATTTGACACAGTTTTTTTCTTTAAATGGTCTTAGAGGTAAGACAAGAACACTAACTCCATAGCAAGCGGCACAAAAAGTGGGTGATAAAAAGATCTGGCGTCCCATTAGTTGCAATATTCACTCCAACACTGCAAAAACATCAATGCACTTGAAAGATGGGGTATACGCTACATTACATCAGCTGATATCACTGTAACAGTACACCTATTATATACAGTACACAGTATGGCTTTAGCAATACTTTGTTAAATGATACATCTCCCTCTGCAGTATTTATGTACCCTGAAAACATCTGATCTGAACCCACATATTATGCATGATCACAATGAAGGCTTACTCCCTTTGTCATATGTGGAGAAGAAAAGTCCTGTGCAGACTGCGGTTTATCAGCAGAGGTGAACAAGTGCATGTAGTAATCCTAACTGAGCACTTGTAGAGTTAAAAGGCTCAATGAAGGATACTCATTTACTTACAAAGTCTAAATACAAGGGTAATGGCCACACTCCAACACTGCCAATAACCTCTTTCTGTGCAGATTATGTATTGAAAGTTTAAATTATTTCTAACAATACAATTATAGAATATGGATCTCTCCTCTGGATTTCAAAAGTGAAGAAAGATTGTGTTAATCCACAAATATTAGGTACTTGATAGTACGAATTTTCATGAATTCATACATTTTGGTAACTTTGTGAATGAACCATTTAAATCTGTCTAAGAGTAACTTTTCTCTTAGGTTCAAGATGTAATCATAGAAAAGTCTCACAACAGCAGAGTACTTGTGTCAGAGAAAAATTGTTTTGTAAAGTTAAATTTATTGTGATTTTTTAAGTATTAATCACTGTTTGCTTGAATTGTTCTATAAGTATCTTCGAATCCACAATATGAGAGCCTTCACCTCTGACCAAAGCAGCAAGTCCAAACCAAATCCAAGCATCGGAGCTGGGAAACTTTGAGATTATGTAGTAAATGCAGTGTTGAGCTGAGAGCTTTTGGCTTACACAAAACCGTATTACTGAGATGGAAAGAACCGGGAGGTCTTACCGTGCGTAGCTGTGAGCTTGTTGTTATGCACTTGTCAGGCACTGCGGTCAAGGCAGCCGCTCCTCGCTTTTACATGGTGAAGTGAGCCGCCCCTAAATTTGAAGTGCCCACGTATTCTGATCTTTATGGTAAATGCTCCGGACTCCAGAGGAGCAGGAGAACAGACAGAGAGAGCGATTTTGCCCCGTTATTAAATCTCCTTTTTCAAAAAAGTGCTAAATGCCGAAATCTTACCATGAGTTCCTTATAAATCACTATAATGAGTCTTTTTTCTGACTTTGATTTCTTGTAAAAACAATATCTTCCATAAGTACACCATGATTCTGATATGGTTGGACTAAGTACTTCTTAGACTACATGCACAGGTTCTATGGAGTACTTTTACTGTACACAATGATTCTGATATCTGTGGTGGAATTTCTGTAGTTATTTAGATTATAATGTACAGACATCATTAGGTTTATTAAGAATTCATTTCGATATAGGTGAGACCTGTAGGTGAATCTGTTGTCCGGCCCGGACATAAGACTCTGTAGTCATAGGGACGCCAGAGCGATAAGAGTTGTGTGCACACTGAGCTGATTACTTATGGTAGTCGTTTGTTATTAACAGACCCAACACGATTATAAGAACGTATACATTATTCTGAATATGCAAAGCTGGAACAAATGATAAAAGGTTGATTAAATGGACTCAGATGCAGTTGAAATGTTTATGCAATGTTCTAAATGTTTGATTGTATGTGCCTGTTGCTGCTGGTTTTGTTTAATGCTATAATTGCTTTATGCACGATGGGGAATCATCAGTCCACAACAGCGAATACAACTAAATCTCAAAACAAACATGTTAAAAGTAAAGATAAACAAAAACACATAAAACATCCACACACGCATAATGCTGCTACAGATAAAAGCACATCACCCTTAGGTGGAACATTCTCCAACATACAGACAAGAGTTGATTTTATCACACATGAAACATCTCATGCTGATATGCCGGCAGGAGTTGTAGGAAGAGAGAAAGGTTGGAAGTATGTGTCACCATTTTCATCTCTCATGTGTGAATGGACAAAGTTAGAATGGACATATCATGGGTCTTTTGATCAAGAAAATATTAAGTTAGAGATTGCTAATGTTATTCCATTTCACTGTAATCCAAGCTGGGATTCTTCGCCAGAGTTAGAGAGAACAGGACAGGCTGACAGTCACAGACATTGTGATCAGCAGCACACACACTCAGTAAGAAAGAGATGGAGTTACTCTCACAGACAGACAGAGCACCCGGAAGTGAAGCATTCTCACTCAAACAGGGAGAGAGAGAGAGGCTCTGAACAGAAGGACAGTGCTAGTGTTAACACATATTGTTATGATATGACAGAGTTTCGGTTTCCTTATTTTAAAGACTATCTATCCTAGTGTTGCTTGGTTAAATTTAATGTTTTTGTCTTAAAGGTCCTAGTTTAGTCTTTAGTGTTTCCTGTTTTTATTTTGGAAAGTTTCTCTTTTCTAGGGAGTATTGTTAAATTCTTGAGTTCTCTGTGTCTTTAGTGTTTTGTGATTCATATTGTAGTTCTTGTCCAGGTGTGTCCTGTCTTGTATTTTCTTCATTTCTGTGTGTGTTTCCCTCTAGTCTTGATTGCCCTCATTGTCTTTCCCTGGGTTTGTTTACCCCATGGCTATTTAGTCTCAGTGTTCTTTCCCTCTTGTTGTGAGTTAGTTGTTGGATGTTGTATGTTGGTCTATGTCAGTATTTCCCAGTACGTACCAGTTTTTGACTTTTTATGAATTTTCCCAGTTTGAACTTTTGTTAAGATAGAAAGTTCAGATTTACTTTTGTTTAAAAGTTAAATTGGTTGGTTTTCTGGAATTTTCAGAGAATCTGTAACGCTGTCTCATAGTGTTAAACTCAAAGCTTATGCGAAACTATCAAATATTAGCCAATACATTCTGCCTCAAAGAAATCAATTACAGGAATCGATGCTGCAGTTCAATCCCTTTTGATAAAGGTTTGATGGTTGAAACTATCAGCCCATGTAACACTCCCATCTTGCCAAACTGGAAGCCAGGCTGCACTGATGAATTGAGGTTTGTGCAGGTATCAAAGCTATAAATAACATTGTTGTGCCTTCAGTTCTGATTTTGTCGGATGTAAATTCCAGTCTGGCAGCAATGCCTGCAGATTCAAAGTACGATACAGTCCATTCCTCTGTATCCAGATAGCCAGTATCTGTTTTTTTTATATTTTAATTCAAAGGCCGAAAGTTGACGTGGACCAGGCTTCCACTGGGATTTTTGGACTCACTGGTTAATTTATGTGCTTTGTGTCATGCGTGATTTGCATGATTTGGAACTATCTGGTGGAAGTACCTTGTTGCAGTATGCTGATGATTTGTTGATCACTTCCCCTTTGAGAGAGGACTGCCAAATTGACTCTATGTTACTGATGGAAAGACTGGCTGAGTGTGGTCACAGAGCTTCTCTGACCAAATTGCAGTACTGTCAGCCTGAGGTTAAATACCTGGGTGTTACGCATGTGTTAGGCAGGTGACAGCGGCTGCTGCCCCCTGAGAGAGTCAACCTCTTTGGAAACATGTCTCCTCAAGGGACCAAGAAAGAACTTTCAGGTTACATAATTTACATATTAAGCAATACTACAGGTCTGTTGGGCTGTGGGCCCACCAGAGAATAAACCTTCATAGAGGCAAATAAGGTGGTGAACAAACACATCTGGAATGACCTACACAAACACGACAATGGACATCATGTTCCTCACATTCACACCGCCTTGGACGCTCTGTACCTCCTGCAGAGTTTCTCCCCATCAGGTGGCATGGTGCCATAGCCATAGTGATGAGGGAAAATGGGAAGAGGTGTTCTGGCTCAGCCTACACCAGCGTGTTGGTGTAGGCATTATGCAGAGCCAGTCGTTTGGGT